CACGCAGGTGACGGTGCCGCCGATGCTGTCTTGGTTGTCCCGGAAGGTCTCGATCATTTTTGTCATGCGCGCCGCGGCCTCCTCATTCGGGCAGCGAGTGGGGACGAAGGTGTCAACAGTCTTACGGTCGATGGTCTCGATGAGCTTCAGGAACTCAGGGTTGGTTGATGGAGAAGGGTGCTCGGGGGTCGGGGGGAAGAGGTGTTCGTTGCCCACAGAGGAGACAAAAGCGACAATCTCAACACCGTGCGAGAGGCGTAGGTACTTTTCCGCAATGGCACCGGCGGCGACACGGCCTGAAAAGATGGAGTAGTTAGCAAAAAAAAGACTTCTCTGTCCGGTGGGTGTTGCTCAAAACTGACCGATGGTCTCGCGGGCACTACTCCGGCCACCACCGCTGCTCGCCTTAACACCGTATTTCTCCAGGTAAGTGTAATCAGCGTGACTGGGACGAGGGTAGAGATCCATTGTGCTGCCACCGTAGTCTTTGGGTCTCTGATCCTCGTTGCGCACCATCATTCCAATCGGGGTGCCCAGGGTAACGCCAAACTCCGTTCCAGACTGGATCTCTACTCGGTCCTTTTCATTTCGAGGCGTTGTCAAAGCACTCTGCCCCGGACGTCTTCGGGTCATCTGGGGTTGAATGTCTTCCTCTGTGAGCTCCATGCCCGGAGGGCAGCCATCGACAATGCAGCCGACCGAGCGGCAGTGGGATTCACCATAACTGCAAGAGAAGAAAGGTTAGAGGTCTGAATCTGGCCGGAGCTCAAATAGGGACAACGTACGTGGTGACCCGGAAGTATTCTCCCCACGTCGACATTTTGAAATGGCCTTCTGTTTCTGTATATGCTTCTGCTTTTTGACTCACGTTATTGTTAGTGGGGCTATTCGCAAGGGAGAATCATGCAATGCTTACCAACAAACCGTCAGTCGGCAACGAGGGTCAGATCGAATCAAATAAATACAGAGGCCTCACAATTGAGACCAGGTATAGCCGTGAAATGTATATTCAGCGTAGATCCTCACTGCTGTGTCAGCCCTTACTTTTGAGGGCCGCAAAAGAGATGAAGCGGGACTTTTTAACCAGAGTCATCGGCATTGCTTATCTGGGTTTAGCGCGCCGGCGATCGGAGATATCTTTCATCAACAAGATCTTACATTACAATACCTTGCTTTTATTTTTCAGTTGAGCCAATGGACACCGCCATCTTACCATACGTTACATAATCTCCATTTGATCTCCGCCATGAAGTCCGAAGTTTGAACAGCTTCAACCATGCTCACTCTGTGCCTGAACCTCGTCGTTCCTCAATGCGTCGTCTGCTGCGAGGACAATGCCTGCTGACTTCGGCTTTGGCTCCTAGACAGAGCGGTGGCAGCCCTTATTCAGGTGCCGTACGATATAACTCCGCATTATCCACCGACCATTTTGCAGAGCTAGCGAGCCGTCAGTCCTCCCAGCACCAGATTTACCAGTCGCTGTCATCCGACCCATATGTGAATCTGTCCATTGAGCATTTCTTGCTGGAGCATGCGCCAGTTGACAGCAACATTCTATTTTTGTACGTCAATCGACCTTGCGTTGTCATCGGACGCAATCAGAACCCATGGCTCGAGACCAACCTCAAAGCGCTTAACAATGACCGCGTGAAAGTTGGTGGAGGGGACAACGAGAGTGACGACGTACTACTGGTTCGACGCAGATCGGGCGGAGGAGCTGTGTTTCACGACCTGGGGAATTTGAATTACAGTGTGATTTCACCGCGCACCACTTTTACTCGCAACAAACATGCGGAGATGGTTGTACAGGCTCTACACAATATCGGGGCGACCAACACCAGTGTTAATGACCGACATGACATTGTCATGTCCTCCGGGACGAGTGAGCAGGGAGGGCCTGGCGCACCCCTACCTCGGAAAATCTCTGGTTCAGCATTCAAATTGACAAGACACCGAGCACTACATCATGGGACTTGCTTGTTAGATTCCCCCAATATCAATGATCTGGGATACTTTCTACGTTCATCTGCCCGGGACTATATAAAGGCCAAAGGAGTGGAGAGTGTGCGATCACCAGTGACCAATGTCTCGACCGCCTTCGAGAATGCGTTTGCTCCTTTCTCGATACAAGCGGTGATGGAGGGCATTATGGAGCAATTTGCTCGAATGTATCGGGTCAATCCTGATGCCGTCCGTCGGGCGCAACGTGCTCACGCGAATGAGCCTGAGCTTTACGCTGGAGCCGACTGGGTGGCCGGTGTTGTAGGAGCACAAGAAGGATACCGAGAGCTGGAGATTAGAAAAGGCATTGACGAGCTTCGGGTAAGACAAATACGCGCAGTATGCCAGATAATTACTGACGTATGATCTTAATCAGTCTTTGGAGTGGACGTACACTCAGACACCGCAGTTCACCTTTTCCACGTTCCCTTTCGAGGAGGATCCGCGCCAAAGACCCGCATTGCCAGAGTCACTGCCTCACTCGGTAAGACCTTTTGTTACTGTGTTGGTCGCCTTCACTTGCTGACCGATCATCTAGACACGAGTATTTCTGCGCCTCAAACACGGTGCGATCATTGAGAGTGAAATTTCAGTCTCATCTGATCCAAACGTGGCGTCCGAGGAAGCACGCCGAGTGCATGAAGTTTTGAATGGACGGAAGCTTCACGAAATCCAGTTGAGCCAATGGGACCAGCTACTCACTGACCGTCTCGGCGCAGACGCTGAGGCGACAGTCGCGCATGAGCTTGCGAGGTTCATTGGAAGCAAGCTATGCTCCTAGCTTGACTCACTTACCCTTGGATGACCAAATTTATATTGTACAGTAGACAACCATGTATATTAGCATTTCAATGCGACTACTCTCACGGTCCTGATTGGATGAGCTGAGTCTGGACAGCCAAATCTTTGCCTTTAACACACACCGGCCGAGTCTGTTCCCAGCCCTGCAACGTCAGCCCTGCTGACGGTCTACCCCTCTCGACAACATAGTAAAAGGTCCTAATTTTAGTTTACATCGGAGATGACCTACAATCATCTTGATTACTTCAGTCTGCATCGTAAAATAAGCTTGTTTGCGCTGTTTGCAGTGACTACACCGGCGCTCCCCGAATGGAAGCGTGGCTTAAGTAATCCGCCTGCCGAATTCCGCCTAGTCGCAGGGGAAGTTTGTTCCCAAATCCCAACATCTCCGGCGTTGAAGATAACAGGGCAAGAAGATCTCCTCATCTCCCTCTAATCCCTCCATATCAATTGGACTTCTCGACCTCCCATCATGTTATTCCGAGCTGCGTGGGCCCGTCAGGCTGCGCCTCTGAGGCGTCAGGCTTTTGCTCCTCTTGCTCGCCGCTCTGTCACCACCGACGCCGCCTCATCGCATGCTGAAAATATTCCGCAGGTTTGTTGAGACGCCCAAAAACCCGCGATTCGGAAGATTTCATGCTGACGGGATGGGTGTTTGTGTATAGGAAGATGACAAGCCCTTCACAGTCAGACTCTCCGATGAGAGCTTCGAGACATACGAGATCGACCCTCCTCCATATGAGCTCGAGGTCACCAAGAAGGACTTGAAGCAGATGTACTATGATATGGTTGTGACCAGGTATGGACTGAGCGGAGTGGAGTTTCTTTGTTGCTACCCGACTCGTATCTAATCTTGACGGTTCTCGCTCTGTCTAGACGCATGGAAATGGCCGCCGACCGTCTCTACAAGGAAAAGAAGATCAGAGGTTTCTGCCACTTATCTATTGGTCAGGAAGCTGTTGCTACCGGTATCGAACACGCCATCACCCGCGACGACAAGGTTATCACTGCCTACCGTTGCCACGGTTATGCCTTGATGCGTGGTGGTACCGTCCGTTCGATCATTGGAGAGTTGCTCGGCCGCCGTGAAGGTATCGCCTACGGAAAGGGTGGTTCGATGCACATGTTCGCCCCCAACTTCTTCGGTGGTAACGGTATCGTCGGTGCTCAGGTTCCCGTTGGTGCCGGTCTTGCTTTCGCCCAGCAGTACAACGAGGAGAAGGCTACCAGCATTGTTCTGTACGGTGACGGTGCCTCCAACCAGGGTCAAGTGTTTGAGGCTTTCAACATGGCCAAGCTGTGGAACCTTCCTGCCATCTTCGGCTGTGAGAGTGAGTTAATCTTTGATGACACCTACCGGCAGTCCAAATCTGACAATTTATAGACAACAAGTATGGTATGGGTACCTCCGCCGCTCGTTCCTCCGCCTTAACCGACTACTACAAGCGTGGTCAGTACATCCCCGGTATCAAGGTCAACGGTATGGATGTCCTTGCCACCAAGGCTGCCGTCCAGTACGCCAGAGAGTACACCATCGCCGGCAACGGTCCCCTGGTCTTCGAGTACGTCACCTACCGGTACGGTGGCCACTCCATGTCCGACCCCGGTACCACCTACCGTAGCCGTGAGGAGATCCAGCGCATGCGCAGCACCAACGACCCCATTGCCGGTCTCAAGCAGAAGATCCTTGACTGGAACGTCATGACCGAGGAGGAGCTCAAGGCTCTGGACAAGTCTGCCCGTAGCCACGTCGACGAGGAGGTTGCCATTGCCGAGCAGATGCCCGCCCCCGAGAACAACCCCCGCATCCTGTTCGAGGACATCTATGTTCGCGGCAGTGAGCCCCGCTGGATGAGAGGCCGCACTGTCGACGAGACCTTCTACTACTAAACTCTTACCCTTTCGATATCTGGCAAGCAGGAGTTGAGAGAAAAGTTGTAAACTCGGAAATTGGCAGGGTCATATGAACCACCCCCCTACAGCACGTCTAGTATATGTAATTTAGCCCGGAATCATTGTTCATGTTTTGCATTATATTTCTCCCGTAGCGTCAGAAATCTACAATCGGAGATGTTGATAAAAGCCTAGGGGGTTTCCGCGGTTAACACATATCGATGGTTTATCTCGTAAGGGTATCATAATAGGATGGAGATAAAGACTGAGAAGAACAAATCAAGCATAAGAGGAAGGAACATCAATCAACTCGGCTCCTGTCGCAACATCTCGAGGATCATTTCCTGGGTCCGCTGTACGGAATCTAGTTTCTCCTCCAAGGAGGCCCGGTCTTTCTCCAGCTCACGACGCAGCTCATCCTGCATCTCCTGCCGGAGCTCATCCTTGAGTTGGTTAATGAAAGCCGAGGACATTGAGCCCAGAGCACCGTCCACGGCCCCGTCGTGCGAGACCCCGTTCTCCCGAGGGATCTGCCCATTCGTAGCCAAAGACGTAACAAGCGGGGAGGAGCGAGGGTCGGCGCTGACTGCGTCGAGATGTCTGTTCAGTTTTCCTAGAGTCTCCAATACAGCGGTCATCATGCTGCTTTCCAGGGCGGATGGGGCTTGAGCAGTCGCTGATGCTTGCGGGTACGACCATCCTGCCGCCGCGGTGATCGTCCGGTTTGGCTGGGGTGTCTGGCTTGCGAACATCGAGTCAAAGCCTGGAGGTAGGCGGACGGTATTCTGGACAGTGGTAGCTCCAGCTCCAGTGGAAGCAGCTGGAGCCGGAGGAGACGCAGGGGAGACGGAAGGTGGCTGCGCCTGCTGAGACTGACCCGGACCCTGAGCGGGACCCTGGAATCGGCTCTCCACGACCGGAGTGGCAGAGGGCCGCCAGCCATCGGAATTGCCATCCCACAGGTCAAACGACCTGTCCTTCCTCTTGCGGGACTTGCGAGCACGCAAATCGCGCCTCTCAATGCGCCGCGCCTCGGCCTCCTCCCACCGCTGCCACGTGGGGATCCAGGCATCAACGGCCGCGCGCCACCGCGGATTCGACAGGTCGTCGGCGTCGGTGCCGCCCTTCTCGCGCTGCTCCTCGAGGAACTTCATGCGCTGCTTGGTGACGATCTCCACCTTGCGACGCACCGAGTGCCACGAGTACGGATGCCCCTGGTCGCGGGTGAACTCCTCCGTGACCGTCTTCCACCATTTGCACAGGTTGCTGCGCTGGCCAAACTCCACCGCGTGTCGGTTGCAGATGTCAAACAGCGATACCTCCTCCTTGGTCGTCAGTCGTTTCCCGTGCTTCCGCGGCGTGTCTCCTCCCCCGCCAGTGCCGTCGAGATCCTCGTCCACGAGCACCCTGTTCGCCACAAGCCCGTGACCATTGCTGCCCCCTGCAGCCCCTCCACCAGTCCCCGCTGCGCCTCCAACCCCAGATACCCCATTTTGCACCCCGCCAGGCCCTATATCCCCCGGCGACGGCGCATAATCCGGATCCCCCAGTCCGTCCGGCGCCGTGCCGTCTCGCACGGCGCTGTCCGAGCGATCACTCTCGGACCCTTCGCTGGACTCCGGCGGAGGGGGTCTCGCCTCGACTACCACCGACACGGGCTGGTGGTGCGAGTTCTGGCCCATTCGCAAATTCGACGAGATGGTAGGCAGGGTGTTCTGCTGGGACCGCGACATCATGGACGGCAGCCACCGGAGCTGAGGCATCTGGAACGACGAAGGCGACGGCGACGGAGCCGTATGGTCGATTCGAGGGCCCGCCGCTGCAGTTCCGGTGTGTGGGTGATGATGAGCGTTGGAGCCTGTCGTCCCATGCCAGGGATACATTGACATGATTGATGTCTGGTGGGCCAGAGGGGACCCAGGGGCAGGAGAGGAGCTTTGATCTGGGTGACAATGGGGCTTATTGGGCTCCTCTTTGTGGTAGTCCCTCTGTGATAAACACTGGATAAATGCGATGAGATATGATAAAGAGACGATTATGAAAAATCGCCGGTTGCTTTTGCAAATTTTGCGTTGGGAATAAGAGAGTTTTTTCTTTCATTTAGGGAGCTGGTCCCTTTGTACGGTAATTTTCATCACCCGCCAAAATAGAATACGTATTATTACGAGGCCTCTTTGCATTCATGTTTGCAAGCAGATAATGAAGTCAACAACTCGCTTAATGCTTTATAAAGGGGAACAGAAATAATGAGGAAGAGATTGATTGATTGATGCATGTACAATGTTAGGGATATTGGTTGTACAGATGTGGTTCATCCAGGTAAAGCAGCTTCCAACACCATTGCAACATGACACTTTTGCTCAGCCTTCCCGGGAACCACAAGGCAGATACATCTATGAGCACCGTAACAAGTAGGAAATCACACCCGAGACCCAGTAATACAAGATGATGGAACATGCCAGCAGAAGATAGAATACAAGGTAAAGCAAAGGAGGAAATGTATCACTAGCCCGTCCATCTAACGTCTTCGGAGATACCAGGCGAACGCAGCTGTGCTGATATTCTCATTGAAGGGTGTTGGCACCTCTGTGCGGCCTGGCCGCGCCACGGGGTGCCGAAGGTACACGGCTGCGCAGATGTTGTGGTTGACCTCCAGGTATCGGGGGACGAAGGCGAATGCGCTCATGTAGTCGCGTGGCCGCCAAGGGGTAGCGTAGGGCTTGCTGTGGTCGATCGGGTTATCGCGCATCTGGATCAGCGCCCGCCGAAGCACTTCGAATTCCTCCTCTGTGAGCTCTGACGTGTCCACCTCTTCCTCGGGGTTCTGAGCCGCCTTCTGGAAAGCTTCGGAAAGCTTGTCACTAGGCTTGTTCTCCGCAGCAGATGTCGCGGTAGTAGTGGTAGTAGCGTCTGTTGATTCGGAAGCGGTGGTCGAGGTTTGCTCTGCGGGCGTAGATGAGGTCTTCTCTGATTCCTTGTCTCCCTTCTTCTCGGCTTTCCTGGCCTTCAGCAAGGTGATGAGCTCCGAGAACTGAGACTCGAGGTTATCGGTCAAGACGGTGCTTGATTCGGAACGAGACAGCACTCTACGGACGGCCTTCTGAAAACCGCGCAGCTCCTGCTTGCGCTTGGCGGGGAGAACGTCCTTGCTGTTGGACATGATCGTCTTGGCCTGAGTGAGCAGCGTCTTCAATGTTTCCTTAGGGTCATCCTTTTGCTGATCCCGTGCTTCTGATGTCTCCGACTCATCTTTCTTGTTCTCCGTCTCCGCAGTCGCACCCTCCGCCTCTGTTTCGCCCTCGTTCGACTCTGCCGCCTTTCTCCTGGCGACGCGGGATTCTCGACGTTCAAACTTATCCTTGGGGGCACCAGTAGCATACATGACGCGCTCCGGCTCAACCTGGAAAAGATCGCCAGGATTCAGGAGGTAACCGGGGTATCTCATCTATTTCAGACACAGTGTCAGCCGCCAGATCCGGCAAGACGAGATCACGGGACAAAGAAGCATACCTTCTTGCCATTAACTGTCACCGCACCATGCACAACAAACTGCCGGGCCTGCCGAGTACTGCTAGCGAACATCGCCCGGAAGATGGCAACATCCAGCCGACGCTCCAAAGGAGCAAAAGTCATCTGTGTATAGGGTGTCAAGGACGTCTGGTCCTGGGCCCCGGCTGTGCCATCGCGGTTCGCTTCGGATTCCAGGCCTGCTCCTCGACCGGCGGACATTGCAGAGCCATCATCACTGGCCAATTTCTCTGGGCTCATGGGCACGACGCTACGGATGCGGCGGTTGAACATCCGTGCCCATTGACTTTCGCGGACCTGTTCACCATGGTATGCCCGGGCAACGGACTTGGCAGTCCATTTCTGTTGGAAAAAGGTGCGGTTTGCGGTCGGAGGGGCGCGGAATCGACTCAGGTTGAACAAATTATATTTGCTCCATGATTGTCGGATTTTCTGGTATCAAGCTCCATTAGGATTTTCGTCACGCGATAAAGGGGGTGCCGTTAACTGGGTAATATCGCATGAGTAGGAATAACATACCGCCTTGCTCAACGGCGTAGTAGCCCTGTTCCTCATGATGGCGAGCGTCCGTTGAAATTGACCTGCGACGAATCCTCCTTCAGTATCAACGATGAGCGGAATGAGACCCCAAAACTTCACATGAGGCACGTGATGAGAAGTTTCCTGCCTCAGCCATGAGGCAGAAAGAAACATTCGGCACCTGTCCTGCGATTGGCGGAAAACACCTCGCTTGGTACTAGCGCCAAGGATTGGACCCACCGGAACCTATATATTGCCGCTTCCCCCTCCACCCTTTGACTTTTTTCTTCTTTCTTTTCTTCATACTTACCTTGTTTGGGTGGCTGCGATCAAGAAGGCGGTCCACCACGGATTGGTCCCTGCATTGCACAGCGCGGCGGAACAATCCGTTCAACGGCCTTCGGGTCATTGACAGGCGTATTCTTTGGCACTTTCCACTCTGTGGTGGATCATATTTCTCTTTTCATCATTTCTTCGCCTTGTGCGGGGGTATGGAGAAGAGAGTTGGGAGACTTGGATTTTTTCCATAGTCGATGTATTACAGTGTAGTGAACCCCTTCATTACTCTTCATGTAGTAGTTGTCTATGTTATATGTACAACGCATGCCCTTGTTCCTATGTTGTTGTTCCTTTTGAGGTTGTGTCCTCGATATTTCCCAGTGACTAAAAGCTGTACACCCACCGCTCATGCACAACACAAGGCATATTTCGCATCAATTTATTATTCATTGTCCTGATATCATACGCACATTCATTAATATACACATAAGTCATGTCAATCATCTCGCTTTGCACTGGGAAATGCCTCCAAGAGCGCTTCTGCTTCTTGAGGGTTGACGGCATCATCGAGGATCTCATGGGCCATCTCCACCGTCTCATCATCGATGCCGCCCTCGAGTATCGGTCCTTCGCTGAACGCCAACCGTGTCAACACCACTAGAAACTTTTGCTTCCCACCTGCGACTCGACACAATTTCGATTGCAGATCCACGTTCTTGTGACGACGGAGCACCCCGTAGACCAAGCGCATGAGGCCGTTGACCATGGACGCATGGAGATCTCGCTCCGGCGGGTACGTATAGAGCGCATCGAGTTCGTCATGCATGGCTCGTATCATCCGCGCGAGTACCGTTGGATGCTGTGCAATGACGGAGCTGCCGTGCTCACTGGCCGGCGCGACTGGATTGAAAGCTACCGACGTGAGGAAATACATTGCCTGCAAGCGCATGCCGCAGATGTCTGCAGCTGTGTAAGGAGGCTGCCCTTCATCCGGCTGTGGTGTCTCACTCAAAAGGTTGGCCACACGGTCGACAATGTAATTCTCATTGGCAAGCTGATCTTGCTGGGTCTCCTGGACCGATCCAAAGGACTCCGCTCGGATGCTCGTCGATAGCAGGTTCAGCATTAAAGTGATGTCTCGAATAGGTTGTGAGCAATTCAGCATCATCAGGACGAAGTCGTAGCGCATGTACCGCCAGAACTTCGCCATCGTCCGCTCCATGTGTATACACAGATATGCCATGCGGTACAACAGACTTAGCGCTTCGGTCGAATCCACAAGGGCTTCAAGTTGGGACAGCGGCGTTTGCCGAATCTGGCCGAGGTTCTGACGCGACACGGGCGAGTTTCTGAAACGAGGGATTCCATTGATATCTCCAGACTCTTGTAGTACTGGTACAAGATCGTCGATCATGTCCGGGACACAAGACGGTGCATCCAATGCTAACAGGTGGTGGGTAATCTCCATGAACATCGGCACCGGCTTGAAGAACTTCTCCTTTAGGGCCCGGGACCATAGCGAAGCAATGACTTGTGCATATTCCACCACATAGTTGCCCGAGTGTAATCTTGCTGTCTCCTCAAGGATGATCGTAGACAGCTTTCGTCGCGGTTCCGAGGGAAATGCCAGTTGCGATAATACCTCGATATCGCATTCTTCGTTGGGGTACGTTTTGTGGTTGAGGATGAATTTCATGAGCTCTGCATTCCGGTCCTCTTTGCGCGGGACTGGGTCATCGACCATCGCATCATCCATCATCGCATCGTCCAATAAGTCCTCAGGCGGCTCACCTACAAGCTCTGCCGGTTGACTTAGTGGCAGAGGTGTCGGACTGCCCGGGTCGAGCTTCCTTTTCTTCTTCCCAGGCCCCGTGGGAGTCGTACGTTTCGATTTCGCGGACTTGCTCGGCGAAATGGCCATGATTTCATCATCGTCGAATCCATCGCGAAAAGGCAGTACTCTGGTCTTCTTGGGCGTTACGGGCGGCGCTTTGTCCTCCGCCTTGCTCTTTGCCTTCATATTGTTGATTCGCATGGTCTCTTCGGCTAGGTCTTGTTTGAGAAACGCATTTTCTGTGGCCAGCAGCTTGCCTTCGGCCCGAGCTGCCTCTACCTCCTCCTTATGCTTGGCTGTCTCTTCCGCAATGGCCTTGCGCAAAGCAGCCAGTTGTCGATCATAGTTCTCGACCAGTTTCGCTTGGTTCGCTCGGATAATTGCAATTTCTCCCGCTTTCGTCTCGGCCAGCGATTTTGCAGCCGCCAGCTCTTCCGTCATCTGTTTGAGTCGTTCATCTTCTAAGCGCAACTGTAAGTCACGTTAGCCAAAAGTCTGGCAATTGTAGATGCTTCGAAAACAGATACCTTGTCCTCAAGCACGTTGTAAGACTCGTAAAGATTGGTTTGGTACGGGTTCTCCAGTCCTTCTTCAATGTCCATGGGCTCTAAGGCAGACTCGTTGCGAAGAGGAACAGCCTGTCCTGCCGAAGCAGGCGGCTGATCCAGCGCAACAGGCAATCCAGTATCATCATCGAGCACCTCCGCGTCCAATTCACCCACATCCAGAGAATCGTAATCGTTCGTCAGGCCGGTGTGTAAACGCGCAGGTGGTTTCAGTGTAGCATTGATAGGCGTTGACCGGGACTCTGCGACTCGAGACGGTCGATTGGCTTGCGCATGAGGAGCAAAAGCAGTGTAAATAGGAGATTCTGGTTGCGCTGGTCGTTGCGCCTGTGTAGCTAGATACGCGTTCTGTTCCAGCTGCAATAATGTACTGGGAGGCAGATCCTCGAGGCCATCATCCGAGAAGAAGTCATCGTCCTTGTCTTCCATAACCCACTACGCGAGGCCGCCATGAATCAAAAATGATTCGCTCGAGTATTCTTGAGAAAAAGCACGAATATGTTTGTATTGTGGTGTTTTTTTGGTTACCCAGAAAAAGAGCTATGATTTCCCCAGGAACCAACGGAAGAAAAACGGACGAAGGCCTGACGTAGTGCCGAGTCACGGGAAGTTGTTCCTCATCCTCATCCTGTCTCTATCTTCTTTCTCTCTTAATCAATTCTCTTCTGCTTGATCATCCTCCTGCCATCAAATTGATGATCCCCAGGTTGAATGGCGACCATTTAGTTCTGGAATTCTTTGCTCTGGTTCCCATAGAGCTCTTCTTGCATCGTCTCGTGTCTCCTAACCCGACCGCTTTCGGTCCCTACTTCACATGAAAATTTACTAGTAATCAACACGACGATCGCTCCCAATAATCATCCTCACTCCCCAAGCACCTTTTTTTTTGGCCCGATTCTCCATCTTTCACCCTTGTTCGGGCCCCATTTCGTCTCTTTAGATCCCAGTCTCAGGTTCCCTGGGATTTCCCCGCGGTTTCACCTGCTCCCCGCGCGTAGTCGCCCTGAGAAGCGGTTTCTTCCTTTTCTCTGCTGCCTTACACCCTTGCTCGACCATGTCAAAATCACGCCGGAACGTCCGGTTTCAACACCGAGGAAGCAACGGATCCGAAAACCGTCGGATGAGCATCTCAGATGCTAGTGATGTGGCCTCCGACCCTGGTAGCCCGTCGAAGAATGGCAATGTCTCCAAACCCGCAACGATTCCCGAAGAGGTGAGGCCCTAAGACAGGACAATTGGCTTGATCGTTTGGCGATGGAGGCTGACATGCTCGTACAGAAACAGGAACAGCCTCAATTGTCCGAATATGAGAAGAAGAAGCAGACTTTCATCACTCGGACAATATGGACGTTTGTGATGATTTCCCTCTTCTTCATTGCCATGTTTTCAGGCCACATTTATATCATCGGCATCGTCACGGCAATCCAAATCATCTCGTTCAAGGAAGTCATTGCCATTGCAAATGTACCCAGCAGGGAGAAGAACATCCGCTTTACCAAGTCGCTCAACTGGTATTTCCTGGCCACGACCATGTACTTCTTGTATGGAGAAAGCGTGATCTACTATTTCAAGCATATCCTCCTAGTTGAAAAAGGGTTGCTTCCTCTGGCAACTCACCATCGTTTTATCAGCTTTACGCTCTATGTCATGGGTGAGTTTAATCGCTTACTCTACAAGATCGGACCAGTCGCTGATACTATCCTCTTTCAGGATTCGTCTTCTTTGTCGCATCGCTGCAAAAAGGTCACTACCGTTTTCAATTCACCCAGTTTGCCTGGACGCATATGGCACTATACCTGATCGTCGTCCAAGCGCACTTTGTCATGAACAATGTCTTCGAGGGCATGATCTGGTTCTTCCTCCCAGCCTCCCTCGTCATTACAAATGACATCTTCGCCTACGTGTGTGGTATCACTTTTGGTCGCACTCAGCTGATCCAGCTGTCGCCCAAGAAGACTGTTGAGGGTTTCCTCGGCGCATGGATTTGCACCATTATTTTCGGTTACTTTATGACCAATATCCTAATTCGCTACAAGTACTTCACCTGCCCGGTCAACGACTTGGGAGCTAACGTCCTGACTGGACTGCAATGCAACCCCAACCCTGTCTTTGTGCCTCAGCCCTATTCTCTCCCAGAATGGACTGGGCTGTCCAAGACCTTCTATGTTGAGCCTATGCAGTTCCACATCCTGGTGTTTGCTACCTTTGCCTCTCTCATTGCGCCTTTTGGCGGCTTCTTCGCATCGGGTCTCAAGCGCACCTTCAAGATTAAGGATTTCGGTGAATCCATTCCGGGCCACGGTGGTATCACCGACCGTATGGACTGCCAGTTCATCATGGGCTTCTTCGCCTACATGTATTACCACAGCTTCATTGCTGTATACAAGGCCAGTGTGGGAGATATCATCGAGGCTGCCATCAACGGCCTCACAGTTGAGGAACAGTTCGAGGTGGTTCGCGGTTTGGGCAAATACCTCTACAATCAGGGAACCGTTTCTGAGGCGGTATGTTCAATTGTTTCGATACTAAAGGTCCAGCTGCTCACAAATCATACAGATACTGGATTGCCTTAACGGCGAGTTGAAACGCCGTTGAAAATGACTCGCTAATGACCATCTCCTTTTTCGTGCCTGGGGCCTTGATGAACATGTTCGGCTTCTATGCATCCTCTCTTTAATCTTTCTATCTTCTCACTGTAATTTCTTGTCAACGCATTGGGTTGTTGGTGTATACAATTCAGGAAAGGACGGCCGGGTGCCTGGCTCAGCCGGACAAAGACGCGTTGGTCGGCCTGGATTCTTATTCTTTTGCTTTACATCCTCTTACGTCCGCCTAGAGGTGGATTGGCCAAGCGCTCGATGCACTGTGTGGAGTCGCATCATATATAGCTTTCACGTGAGAGTTTAGGTACTTATCTACCTAAAAAGATTTGTCGTTTGACATGTAATGCGACAAAATGTGCGAGGTAGCAGGTAGCTATTACTCTGCAGCGATTGTATCATGATATGACGTACGCTTCTTGAAACATCTCTTGCGAGGGTTTCCGTCGGTAGATACATCGTCAAGGAGTATCTGGCTGGGTGCTCGACATTGCCGGGGTTTAACATCAGAGCTCGTCACTAACGGCATGACGCCGTGAATTCAGAGTTCAACTAGTATCCGCGTCATGTTAAGCCTCATCACCAAGCGTGCTGTGCTCCGCTTGGATCAGGACCTTGCAGCAGGCGGGCTAACAGATCCATCGCGGCCGTGCGCACCGGCGCAGCTGCCAGAAGTCTCGAACCCAGCTGTCGATCCTCTGCGAAGGGTGCCTCAACAGTAGCGGGTAGTCGCCTGTGTTGGGTGGTCTCGTGATTTCATATCCAAAGACAATTCATTCCTCCACCTCGTACTCCTCCATCTCAATCTTAAAGTACTCGGCGACATGCGCCTTCTCGGCCTCTGCGCACTCCGAATCAAGCATAAAGCGCACAGCGCCGTCGCGGCCGCGTTCTCCGGCCTTGGGTCTCTCCCCGTTGGCAGCGACAGGGGTGAGCGGGTGCAGCGCGGGTGCGGCTCCCCTGTCTCTATCTCTATCTTTCGGCGCGGGGCGATTCCTGCCATCTCTGGCGCCATTGGTAGGCTTGGTATCTCTGCCGTCTTCGACCCAGTGCGTGTACCGAGGTAATCTCTGGGCCTCTGCTTCTTTGTTCAGCGGGATGCGAACTGTGAGGAATCGATCAGGTGGGAAGTGCGGGCCGACGGTGGTCGAGCTACGGTTGTGTGTGTATAACTCGAGCAGGTCAAAGAGAGTTTCTAGGTTTTTGTTAGAATTTGTTGTTGTCTGATAGACTTGAGAGAATGCAAGAGACCCACCCATTACTTCTTCACGGCTCGTCCTCCATTGCTCGTAATCTGACCCCTGCTCCACAGGCTCCAGACGCTGATCCAGCAGGCGGCCCGCGAGTTCGAGACAGCAAAAGGCCATGGTGGAGGTGGTCTGCTTGATGGGGGCAAAGGTTCGATAGAGATCCTGCGAGATGCGGTAGGCAAGATTGGAGACCTCGGATCGCGGCGACAAGCCATAGTTTCTGGCTAGTTTGATCAAGGTCCTCTGTGGATGACGGGTCCGGAAGTCGAAGCCAGAGGCTTCGAGCATGAGCCTCTCGAGGCCGATGATACCTCGAGCATGCGCTTCAAAAGCCTATGAGGACTACGTTAGTCGGCCCTGGTTGCGAGAGGGACGATGGAAACTCACAGGGTTGTCAGGAGACATGTGCTCTGATGGAGGCAGCTTCAGGTTGTACGCAGCACATACAATCTCCCGGGACTTCTTCAGGGTGTCCTCGATCTTGCATGCTGTGAATAGAGCAGCCGCAGCGGCATCCTGACCAGTCAAGTCAGCTTAGTTACACTGCAGACTAAAGCACGTTGAGTCTACCATATAATTGTACTCTGTGTCGGGGTGAATAAGGCGAAATTTATGATAATAGACGACAGCGGTGTTGAAGGTGCGAATAGGCCTGTCGAGTCAGCAATAGTTCTTGCTCAGAGCGATGTTCACTTTGCAATTCAATCATTCCGACGTACAGATAGAGCGCTCGGCGAACGTTGTCGATCCATGTCACCCCCTGCAAGCGCAGAGCTTCCTCGCGCAGAGGATTGACCCCCATGGCCGCAATACATTTCTGTATCGTCTGTTCAAAGATATAAGGCTTGGCTACCTGGATGAAGGACGGATGGATGGCAGGGGGTTCCGGCAGAGAAGGGTCGGCCGCAGCCGGCTGTGTCGAGTCATCCTTCTTCTCCGAAGCCATCCTGTAGTGCTGGCGGAAGAATCTTCTTGTCTTGCCAAATAGAGACGAGAAGACAGGTAACTGTACGGGTACCTAAGATGATGCGCGATGGATGCGATTGAATCTTTGGCCGCGCATGATTGGCGGAGTGTCACGTGAGACGGGGCGGATGTTATTCCGCTTTTGTTTGCATATTCAATAACTGGTAGTTTGATGAGACTATTATGATTAGATGGATTCTGGTATCTGCTTCTAGTTTCTTTTCTGAGAACATATGAGAGCGTGTGTTGTCATTGTCAACTGTTGGGAATGCGTATATAAACCAAATACTCCACAAGTGGTCGGAACTCATGGCACTCCCCTTCCTGCTCTTGTGGCCTTTGCCAGCTCACTCTGGGCAGTATTGTCTGCATAGCGCTGATAGATGGGGAGGTAATGATCTTTCTCACTAGTTGTCTCCCTTATACTTCGTCTGCCTTCTACTGCACGGAGCCACGTCCTCCATCGCTGCCAGACAGCCTCATCCGCACCCCCCTGACCCTCAGCAGGAATCCCAAGACCGCCTGTCTTGAACTCATCAAACACCCAGAGCCGCACGGCCCACGGGCCCAGCACAAGATCAGGCATTGAGATCTGCTCTCCTAAGAAAAACGG